GGGATGCCTTAATAGCCTACTCATAAACAACAAATAAGTAAGGTAATTGATTGCTTTAGCAAATATGACTTTGTTTGATCGACAATCCCATCATAGAAAGTGATGTAAGAGAATGACTAGCTTTCTTTAAAATTCTTATCTGCACTGTAACACAAGCGCACTCGTGGCAATATGGCGAAGTATCTAATGTATCGAGATTACTCTCTGCTCTGTCCTGGTTTGACTCCTATTATGGATGTTGATAAGACGTAGGCGGGTCAAAACTGCAGTGCACCAAGAATGTGAACAACGTTTGAGAAAGCAAGGGTATTTAAATTCAACGGAAACGTCAGTTATACTCATATCATTATGGAAAAATTGAAATACTAGTCCTTTATAACCTTAAACGAAATAGGGTAAATACAGCTTATATAACGGATTGGCTGTCTCGAAACGATATTAATTTAAAAATGCATATAAAAATGCGAATTAAATTATATATTAGAAGTTGTTAATAAATAAGAAACAAAGCTTAGCCTATAATAAGCTAATCGTTAGAGCACACTTTTATATGCTATATTTATTTTACACAATATTTAGAATTTTATATCAAAAGTATTTACTAGTTTACTTTATTCATCCTTTTTTCATCAATCTGTCATTATATAATTATGATTTATCCAAATTTTTATTACAGGGGACCCCAGGACCTAGAGGTATTGAAGGACCAATCGGACCCACTGGATATCTGGGTCCTATTGGGCCACAAGGCAGCAAGGGTGAAAAAGGTAGCCCTGGAACAACTGGCCGACAGGGGCTGAAGGGTGAAATTGTAGGTGGAGATTTAATTCATAAAACAAATAATTTTCTATTTATATCTTTTATGCGTCATGACCAAAATGCTTTATATTATGATGAACTGTACTAACTCGAAATTTTCTTAAAGGCTTAAAAATTTAACCATATATTTGACAAGAAAATGCAGCTACTTAAATTCGCATTAATCATAGAGATTGGCAAATTCTAGAACAATTATAGGTAACCTTGTAATATCCAGACGAGATTTTTGAATCTATACTCTTAAACCTAATAATTTACACTAAGTAAGAACTCATTAATTCTTTAAAATCTGGTTATTTTGACTTCAATAAACCTTGAATATGATGAGTCTGTACTAAGTAAAACATAAAACCTGATATACTCTAAGCCGAGAATTATTTCATAAAAATAATTTGCTAATTATTCGCTGATGAAAAATTGAATAATTTCATATTTAAAGTGACACAGATTTTAATGTAATATTATTATTCATAGTTGTAAAATTTAATCATTATTATTAATTTAAGACATTTGCAATAATTTATTATGCCTCATGATGAATTTTTGGATATAAACTTAAATTCTTTTATTTTAGGGTCTAATGGGAGGAAATGGATATCCTGGAGAAGATGGGCAAGAAGTAAGTGGTCTAAAATCACTTGAGCATTCATAAAAGGCATTTTTGAAGTTTCTAATAAGCATAACAAGAAATACAGGAAATTAAAGAGTATTTGACCAATTCAATTATTTATTTAGGCTAATTAATTAGTTTAGAATAAATGATAAAATTTAATAGGTTTATTAAGATTTTGGCAATAAATACTCAATAAAAATTTTCCCCATAATGGTTAAGTCAAAATTACTGATATTTTACTTCATAATTTAATCAAAATTTTTAGAAGCTAGTTATCTTTCCTAACTAAAAATTTAACTTTTAGGTTTCCCTAGGTGGATTTACAATATATAAATATCTTTCGCTACAATGATATGCTTGCTTAAGATTTTATTAACCAAATATGCGAATTTTCAATCGCGATATCCGCTTTTCTTATTCGAGATCTTAAAAGTAAGTCGAGATATTTTAAAGATTTTGATTGTTCTATCAGTTAATAAAGATACCGGGACCTCTTTAATCCGATTAGTGAAACTTATTCTAGCTTGTATTAAGTTTCTAGTGCTTAACTCTTTTACAAAGATATTTACAATAGACATGCATTATCAAAAGATAAAAATTAACATAGATAATTATTAGTTTACATTAAGAGAGTAGAATTTTTTTTCCAGAGTCTTATCGAGAATGCATATATATTAAAAATGCCCTTTGAAATAGTCGAAATTAAAAATTGAAGTGGCCATTTAGTAATTCCTTAACCTTGTAAATCGTTAAAATCTATGGAGAATTAATAAAAATCACATAAAAATTTATTATATTTTAAGGTTAATAAAGTTATTGTTTTAAAATTTTAATGCATTATGATTATTAGCTATCTTGGCAGCAATTTTTGATTTGGATAAATTCGTTTAAAAAAAGTTATTTTCGTTCACAAATGTTAAACCTTATACACTAGCATATTAATTTAACGTTCTGGCTTTCTAGGGGTTCTCGGGAATGCCAGGATTTCCAGGCGACAAAGGCGAATCAGGCTGTTCTGGTGATAAGGTAATTCCAAAACTACTG